TTCAGATTCAACATTGTCTTCATTTTTATTTTTTTAAAAGCTGCTATCTTGTTGCTATGGTTGATTTGCTTAGTCTAGAGATGGCCTAAAAAAGTATTTCTGAGAAGTACGTGCCTTGACTGTTCCTCAGCTATAGTTTTGTGTTGCAAGACTTCAAAAGCAATGCCCTTTCAAGGTTGCTTATCTCCTTTTTAAATCATGCCCTTGACAAACCATCCCCTGTGTTGAGAATGGGATCTGGGAACTGATTAAAAACCAAAACAGGTGAAAAGTTACATTAATTTACAGTGCCATAAGTTCCCTGATCCTTCAGACTGCTGAAGGGTTTGCACACTAGCAAGCAAGAACGACCAAGAATGCCAGAAAGAAATATTGCAATAAAGTATTTATGTCATGAAATCATGATCGTGATTGTATTCCAAGCCCCAAGCTATGCAGAGCTAGTTTTTTAGTACATTGCTATCAAGTGTTTTGTCAGATTGTAAGAGGGGCAGGAATTGGAGTTCTGCTCACTCCAAGGGAGCAAAACATGAACTGAAAGAGCAAAGACAAGAAATAGGTAGGATGCATAGACGAGAATAGATAGGGAATATGAATGATATTCATCCTTTAGAGTTGTAGGTTTTCCCGTTGAATTATTAGGTACTGAACAAACAATTAAAAATTTGATGTAGTTTCCAAAGATGGCTTTCAGAATTTCATATTTATGCAAACTTAGTACTGGTGTTAAGAGTTTTACCATGGCTTATAATTGTATGTGTACATCTGTGCACGTGGTTCATGAACAATCTTTTTATGTGTTTAAAAAAACAATTTGGACTCCACAAAACAGAATTTGACAGTCCTTTTTAGACAGTGTGTGAGTATGTATGTCTGGCTTTATTTTTGAGAGTTTTATTGCATTTTCAGTATAATTCTCCATAAGTACTTAAATGGTAAATTTGTAATTTTAATAAACAAATGAGAGTGATGTTTGAATACACTGTTGGAAATATAACAGCATAGTGCCAATAGTTTTTCTTACAGATTTACAACTGTTTTTCTTCTGTATTTAAGGTGGCCTAAGACACGCAGTAGCCAGTATAGCAGGTCTGGAGGCTTACAAGTACATGAAATTTGAAGGAGGAGTGCATCGTGTTCAGCGGGTGCCAAAGACAGAAAAACAAGGACGCATTCACACCAGTACAATGACTGTTGCCATATTACCCCAACCGACTGAGGTAACACTTACCTTCTCGTATAACAGACTTTGCCATCAGCAATGCTTTTACATGCCATATTGCTGATACCCAAGTGTTTTCTGTCTTTCCTGTTATTTTATCTTAATTATTTTTTTTTATTTTAGTTTTAAGTCTTGTTTGTTTGTTAATTTTTACTTTTGTCTAAGGAAATGAAATAAAGAAGTTCTGGATTTCCTTCTAGTCCTAATCTCAAGAAAGTCACAGGCAGTTTACTATAGCTTGAAAATTCACTGTAACCACGCCTTGCATGTTTTGTGGAAAACTACATTTTTTTACAAAGTCACAACAGACTGAACTAGTTCAGAGAGCTCATAGAGATTTCTGTTAGCACTCCCGCTTTCTCCTTTTTGTAGAGTCCTCATTTTCCCCATCCAAAGTATATGGGTGCTAATTTGCCACCATATTTGCTTGGTTAAAAATAACTGGCTAAGAATTAAAGCTTTCTTTTCATCTTTGATTTGTTAAGGATGTTACTGCTTCCTATCTTCTACCAAATTTTCTTGCAACTTCCTCCCGGAGACCGTTGCCCTGCTCCAGAGCCAATGAAGGGAACATGTTCCATTTTATCTGAAAAACAATCTGCTCAAGTTCAAATATTGGTTAACTCTGCTGTAAGAGGGAGCAGAGCTTTCAGAAAAGGGGGAAGATTAATGCTAGGTTGTGCCTTAAACTACTATTTGTCTGATTTCCCGGCTTCCACCACGTCACGTTCCAGTCTGACTACGAAGATTTGTTAATATTTTTATAAGTGAATGTGAGCTACTTCTCATAAACTTTAAAAGTTTATTCTTGCCGGAATGTGCCTTGTAAAGTAAACCAGCTATACATATTTGACATCTATCTAGAAAGAAACAAGGTAAATGTGTTCTTATTTTTTTTCCCTTTTTTTTTTTTTTTCCCTCTGCCATGACAGACGAGGCTGCAAATTAATCCAAAAGATCTTCGGATAGAAACAAAGCGAGCTAGTGGAGCTGGAGGCCAGCATGTCAATACCACAGACAGTGCTGTACGAATTGTTCATGTTCCAACAGGTGCTTAATCTTTTTCCTTAGTAAAAGATCTATGTTACACAACTGCTGTATTAATTTCATTTGAAACAATGGTTTTATTTTTAAACCTGGGCAACAGTAGAGCAGAGTTTTCACACAATGTGTTTATAGTAAAAGGCAGTGTCTTGTGTCCACCCTGATTTGTGAAGACTACTGGCTTCAGTAGGTAAACCAAAACATCCAAACCAGTTTCTAGGAAGAGATTATATTTAAGGTTTCAAATAATGAAAAATAAACTGAAAAACAGAATAGGTTGAAATCTGATTATTTACCTTTTCTTGCCTAGTTTCCAAAACAGAGATCACCAACTTCCATTTGTCTGCTGGCTCCTTTCACAAAGATTACAGACATAATTAGGAGGCCCATTCTCAGGGCTCAGGTTGGGCAACTCAAGTGGGATAAGATACACCCTCAAATGCTCCCTGATTTGAGCTATCATATCTTTTTTTATTGCCATTCCTGAGCTTTTTACTTCCTTTGAGCAATCCCAAGCAGCCACTTTGACTTCCATTGCTTTTTAGCTATCCCTCTTCACTACCACAAATACTAGTCAGGCTTTATAGTGCTCTATCTTCATGTATCCATACTTTTGCCATGAAATTCTTCATATTTATTGAAGACATTAATCTATTCTAAACTTGTTGCATCACCTCATTAAAGCCAAAGGTGGACAGTGGAGAGGGTAGACTTCTTCTGTTCAAGGTATGGTGACAAAAATGTACTCCAGATTAAAAAAAATGGTTGGCTGTTGGCATGTTTGGAAAAATGCCCAACAAACTAAAATAAACAAATAATCTTAGTGTTTGCTGAAGGCCGTTATTGGTGTTTGTAATCAACATTTATTTTTTGTGGTTACACACTACAGATGGTTTATAGGGTTTCTTATATCTCTTGTTATCTCTTGACTTTCCTGTTTCACGTTTCCCAGCTTTGTTCTTTTGCTCTCTTTTCCTTTACAATTGATTGTCCTGTTACTTTTTCTACTTCTCTCAACCTAACTGTTTATAAAGCTTCACTGGGACCCAAAAAGGTGTTTGTAAACAACTCTTTCATAAAGTAATACTCTGTAATCTTATAAAAGGATACTGTAGTCTTACTAGAGTTACTTAAAATCAAATGAAATAACAACTTAGCTTGTGCTGTCTTCTTCCTGTATTTCATTTCCGTACTCCATTCTTTGGTTGTTCACTTACAATCTTAACTTGAATTCTATGTTTTGGGGGGAAAAAACACACCTTTCTTTTTTTTTTTTTTTTTAGCAAAATAGTGCCCACTTTTGTATAATCTGATCACATTCTGTATACACTCACTCTCATGCATTTTACTGCTCCTTAACTCCTGGATTTCCTGGACTTGTGGCCAGGAGTTATGGATTCTTTTCAAAGGAGTCTTCTGTAAGCCAGATCACATCACTTATCTTTTATTTCATTGTCTACCTGTTGTCCAACATATGGAATTAAATTTATTGTCTCATGCTTTAAAGCACCAGTTCAATTCAGCCAGCACTTTTCTCCCGAAATGTATCTTTAGACTTTAATAAAGCCTAGACTTTTACATTCTCAGTCCAAGTTATGTATTGAAGAAAGAATCAGCTTTTTGTCACATAGTAAAAATAATTTAGAAATTGCAAAACCCTTTTAGTATTTCTTACTGTTAAGTCTTAAACGTCATTATGTTTTTGGCAGGGATCGTGTCTGAATGTCAGCAAGAAAGATCTCAAATTAGAAACAAAGAGAAGGCTATGCAAATGCTATGTGCTAAAATATACAATGCCAAACTGGAAGAAGAAACCAAAAAGAGAAACAGTGTACGAAAGATTCAAGTAAGTTTCACTTAGTAAAGATAAAATTTTGTGCAAGTGTATGTTCTTGAGGTAACTTCTGTGTTGAACTGCAAAATAGTAAATAGAAATGTAGAGGAACGTGAGCCCAGCAAGGCAAAAAAAAATCCATTCTACTTCAGCAATAAATTGTATATTAGCCAGATTTAAATTTCAGTACTATGTTGATTCTGGAGATCTAGTAAAACAAGCTGGATTTGAGCATGAAGAAACAATAGTATTAGAAAAATATACAGTAAAATTGTTCTTCTACATGTTTGAGAATAATTGCTGCAACTACTGAACTGTTCTAAGTACTAGGTAACAACAGATTTTGGATAATTATGGAAGAAAAAGCTTTTGCCTTAAATGCTTAATATTGCATGATTTTTATAAAAAGACAGTGATGATAAACTTGTTCTTATTTGGTAGATTGGGACTAAAGGAAGATCAGAGAAGATCAGAACATACAACTTCCCACAGGACCGGATTACTGACCACAGGATAAGCAGATCAGTACATCATATTGAGTGTTTCATGCTTGGGGAAGAAATGCTAGATGAAATGATACAAACTTTGAGAGAATATGCTGATTATGAATCTTTAATGGAAATTATTTCAGAAAATGAAAAAAAAAATCTATCCTGAACATTGCTTTTTGTCAGCCCATTACAAACATGTAATGCTGACATGTATGTGTCAGCAAAGGAGTTTTCTAGAGCACTACCCAGAAAATTAAACTACTTTTCAGATTGTGAAAAGCACAATTTGTTTACTCACTTTGTTACCTTCATATGAGACATTATTGCTACAGTAGTCCACTTAAAAAGCAATTTTGAGTGGCCCAGAAGTAACTGCAGCTTTTAAACTTTCTCCACTTAGAAGATACTGATACACCAGTCTCAAAAGGTACACATGAAAAAATGAGCTATTTCTTGTTCCAGTTTTTATTTATACAGTAGCTTAAACTTCAGTACAGTGTAAAATAATCTAATGGAGAGAAAAAAAAAGTCTTTGAGTGAGGAAGAAAGTGATAAATAAATTACCTCACTACTAATCTATATTTTAAAAAATCATTTAGATGTAGCATGGGAGAAGGAGTCAAAGCATATCTCCATGTTTTCTTGGCCTTCTAGCCCTTATTAACAAACACAAAAAAAACTGTTTAGGAATATCCCTTGTTCCAAAAAAAAAAAAAAAAAAGCTGTGGAAGCCAAGTGGGAAGTTATATGAGTTGTTTTTGAAAATAATGCTTCTGTTCTTGAGTAAAAACTGAAAAGAATCATTACAATATTGTTTGCCTGTTATTTCAGTCTCCCTTAGCCTTCAATTCAGCTTCTTCTCTATGTTTTTAATTGACTCCCCAGGTCATTGATTTCTAAAGGTTATGTAGTATGAATGGCATCTTAATTGGTTTTGTCTGTTTATTTAACAGCAAAACTTTTGCCCTTCTAATCTACTGATCTATGTGTACATGTTCAGCTCTGTGGATAAAGCAAGGGTTAACCTTTTAGACTGCATTGTACAATCCCAAATACATACAGCAATACAAAACCTGCAGCTTCCAGGCCATGTTATCCCATCATGCCTTGTACCTATGCATGTGTGTGTACACACACAGAATGTATTTGAAATGTAAATACCACTAAATAAGAAATTGGAACCTAAGGAAAGATTGTTACCATGAATACAGGGATGTTTGCTTTGAGACTTCTAATGAAAATTAGTGTAATAAATTAGAATAGGAACAAAATAAGTTTGCTACAGCTAGCTTATGGGAATTAATTATTTAAACATCCTTCCTGTGTAAAAATTTACTCATTTTTATCAGTTTATCTTCTGGTATTACATTTGAGACTGTAGTTTAAACCAATGTATGGCAAAAAAACCACACTGAATCATTATTAGTGCCTTTATTAGCTTTGTTTTCTAGGAAATACTGCATAGTTACTGTGATAGAGTTCCAGATCTTTTCATTAAAGATGCATACATTATTTTAAGATGTAGGAGGCCCTGAATGCATAAGGAAAGGCATGGATTTCCTGTTGTGAGACCTAGGTGTAGGTTTACTAGGGGATTTACGATTTCCAGCTGGCACATAAGCAGAAATAAACATTGATGCATTTTGTGCATAAAATAATTAGGTATTGATTGGAACAGAAACTAGGGCTGAGGGTTTTTTTCCTACCAGATTGGTGCTGTAAATGGAAAGCTGTGCTTCCTGACTTCACTTTTAGCCAAACTATCTTACACCAATTGATGGAAAGAGAGATTCATTCTAACTTCAGCCTCATATTTCTCCAGACCAATAAGGGTTGTTAGCCAGGTCTAACTACTGGACTGCTGTGTGTAATGTAAGAGTGCAAAGGTCTTTATCACCCTAGATCTTCCCTAATGAGCCAGCCCGTGTCCTGGCTGTCCAGATCCTGTCCAACTCTTTTCTGTCTCCTGAGTGCAGATTAGATGCTTCATTGCCTTGCAAGTGGCCATCCTCCCACCAGTGGGAAAAGCCAGATATAAGGTGGTCCTAGCAGGAGGCTGACACAGGTACCCCAAAACTGGCACCAGTGTTGTACACGGTGGATTTCACTACCCTGTGTGGTATCTCCTGGGCCTGTTGTGGCAAGCTTTGTCCCATAAAGACTTGAAGACCCTTTCTTTCTCCATATTCATTTCAATGCAAGATCTGGGATCCCTGCAGGGGTGTCCATCCACTCTGCCCAGCTCCCGGCAGCTCTCCGTCTCGCTCTGCCAGCTGCTAGCGAATATACTTTAAAACAAATACAGTGCTTCCATGGGGAGGAACCCAGACGTGAGATGCACCTCCGCACTTCCCCGGCCTTCCCCGGTAGCGGAGCTTTGCGCGCTGGGAGTGTGCAGGGACGGTGCGGAGATCCAAGGAAAGCACGAACGCAGCCGTAGGTGGGCACTGGAGCGCGGGTACTGTCTGGTGCGTGGGTGGGGGGGGGTGTCAGGGCAGGACAGGGCAGGGCAGGACAGGACACGGTGGCCCCCGGCGCGGGAGGTCCCGCCCCGTGC